GCAGTAAGTGCCCCTACTTTATGCGATGAAGCTACAGCTGCGGCTGCTGCTGGTTCTAGTCCTAATGTTAACGCTCCTACCAATTCGTGATAACATTTTTCGGTTCGACCGGCAAAACTACGTACGTCCTCGTCGGATCGTTGTCGACTATTACTAAGTTGCGATTGCAAGTAATTAATCGAATGCGGTGCCCCAAAAACGTTTCTAAGGTGGTTTTTAAGCTCTGACCAGTTTTCAAATTTTCGGTAACGAGTAGCCTGATATGCGTCTCCCTTTAATTTAGATAATATATTGTGAAATACTACGGTCACAAGATTTTCATGGATATTTTCCATGACATAGTTACATTCGGTTATATATGAGGCTAGTTCTACCTCGGAACCCCCGCTAAAGTTAGGTATGCCGTGCAAGGCGGAGTCAATCCCTAATGTTACGCTCATGACTGTCGTTTGTAAAGTTTGCGGGTTATATTTAACTACTACCCCACACCTGACACCAAAAACGTGTAGTGATCCCTCACTAACACTTATATTTTGAGTTTGACGACGTTGATGATTGAGTAGGAGAAAAGGTTGCAGAGTTACAAGTTACAACGTTATAATTTAAGTAATTTATTTTAAAGTTAATAATAATATAATGGTATTACATTTGAATATAGAAATTTGAGGACAGAGCGATAAGCGTCTGCCCGAGAGATTAGTGGTTAATACTAAGTACTTGCAAGTATGTACGTCGTACTAGCACTGAACTAATTCTAATTTAGATACAGACGGAGACTCGTATATATACAAAGTCTCCCTAGGTTATTAGGTACACGGTAGAGACTCGGAGGTGGATCAAAGGAATACCGGCGGTATGAAAGGTACCGGCGTAAATGTTAAAAGTTGTCGAATAAACCTTGAGTTGTGAACTGGTTTATTTAGCAATATGTATTATTAGAAATCGTTATGCGATTTTGAAATATGTAATAAACCTCAGGGCGTGGTATAGTCGTTGATCAATATATCATATAGTGCAAAGTCCTTATGATGTATAATTATAGGAAAGCGACTCTGTCGGTTTACTACACTGATGATAATTTTATTTGTCCGTCTCATTTTAATTTTTTATAGTGTTTACACTCAAGTTTTCATTTACTTAATTTGTTTTTGACATCGAAACTTGGGCTAACAGATAACTTAAATATACAAGATATTGTACTTAGCTAATATTGTTATCAAAGCAAAATAAAATGGCAGGGTGAAGGTACAGTTCATATATAGTTGGTATATATCGTAGCCATTTTAATTCCTTACCGTGATAAAATGTTATATAGGGGTTATTATTGCAATAACCTTGTATCTGTATCGAAGCCATGGGCTAACATGTTCATCCTTTATCCGTTTATAAGTGCGAAAAAGTGGCCAACAATTTCAACGGACACGCCATAAATCGTTGGCATTGCGCTAGCCCAGCATCATCTTACCAGATCTACGTCTACGTTAATGACAATTCCAATTAATAGAAGCTAATACTATGTATAGGTACTTAATATGACATTATATCATTTAATACTCATAACACACAATTATTGAATTTCGGGTACTACAATTAGGTAGAAATAATATTTTTCAAATAATATTACAGTGCCTTTATCGGACAGTCAGTTGTTTCAGCTGAGCCTAAAAACAGGACGACGCCGAACATGCCAACAAACCGTTCTAATTTCAAATTAAACCGTCCACACGGTCCGATAATGCGATGCTGATTTACTTAATTTAAATTTTATTTGTAAATTGTGTTGTTTTCCCTATGTTTCAATAACAAATTTCGGGAGTACGATGATTGTATAAAATCGAAATAGCGGAAAATACAATTTTGAATAAAATGTTTTTTTTTGTTATTTAAAATGTATATTATATTATATTAACATATTTACAGTTAATTGCCCTGACATATTTGATATTTATAATATTATAATACACAAGTCTGCTTAGGCATGAACAAATTATGACAGAACATAGGAAAAACATTACAATTTATTGCATAATACTAGTTGGTTTGATAATTTGCATTTAAAATCTATTAAAAAAATTTTCTTTTTCTTCAAAGCATGTTGACATTTCGTCTTCTTAGTTAAAACCAGACACAATTAGGACACGGAATAAAATGTTTACACGAATGAGCATCGCACGACACGATTGTAAAAATAATAAGGACAAAAGTCGACGATAGATACGGTTGGTCAGATGTTGAAGTTTGATGAGGAGGTGATGAAGGAGTAAGTCCCTGAACGATTTTAACCGAAACGCACAATATTAACGATATTTTTCCTCGTTCCAGGTTCGACGATATATTGGCCCCGGAACCCTACATAAACCTGAACAACGGCGCACAGGTGCGAGAAAAATTGATAGAATCGACGGCGTACACAATGCACCCGACGGCCGTGATAAGTGACGGATTTATCAAAAAAATTCAAAGACAATTCAACTGGTCTGTGCTGGAAGAATACGCCGTCCAATACCACACCGCCGATGACATAGACAAACGGACGTTGACGGACTTGACGAGAGAGAAAAAAAATTCACTATTTCGTTACACAGGATATCGACGTGGTACTATCGAAATTAAATCGGAAACTCCTCGAACTTCGTAGCCACCAGTGAACAAAATAGTGGATTTTACTGTTAACTCGAAACAGCAATAAACCGGCCAGCGTCAGGCATGACGCCAGTCAAATAAAATAGTCCGTTTCCGGACAGTGGATTAGGCCTCTCGGGTATACCACTTTAAAAAAAACGCATCATATGCTATACCTCCTGGGTGATGTGGAAATTAGCAAACAATCGACGTCAAATTTGAAATGCACGGCTCGACAATATTATTAATCAATGGTCCCAGTAGCCGACGTTTTTTGACCGACTAAGACTGAGTCAAACGACCTTACTCAGAGGGTACCTAGTCGACGCTGGATACCGCGTAAAAAAAGTAGTAAGTGTTACCAGGTAGATTACGAGGTTGGGTAGTATGGAAATTCAGCTAGTACCAGGATTACGAGCTAGATAGTATATAGGGTCATTGATTAACCGGCTGTGTGACGGGGGAAAGCGACGCCAGTACACGGCGGTCTCTCAAACCCTTAGCCATCTTAACCGCGCCCGACTCGTCCGCGCTTTAATGGCGCAATCGTCATCCCGCGCTGGGGGGTGCATCTGGGCGCCCGAGCGCCAGGCAGATGGCCCGAAGCATGCCTAGTTCAAGGCATATTATGGGTATCGCTGAATGCGCTGGCGGCGGCAGGTTTTTAATCTGCTCAAGCAATCCCCTTTCTAACTAAAGCGCTACTTCCACAACCTCTGCGGGGCCATCCACATAAGTCACGGACGTGCGAGGGAGCAATCAACTCGTTCGCCCGACTGCCGTACGCGCGTGCCCTAGTTAATCGGAGTTCTGTTTTTACTAGCAGAGCTCTCTCCAATTCCCACAGAATGAGATTTCGGGTTCCTTAACCCTGGTACTCACAACAACCAATTTCCCACAAGAACGGTATCGGGGCAGGAATCCGCAGGATTTACATCAGCCGCGAACCGCCTTTCTGTGCGGTACGGTTTACTGCGCGGGTGGCCGTTCTCGCACCTGGTAATTTCGCCCGGATTTACGGTGACCGATAGTAGACGACTGGTTTTTGCCCACTTCTTGCACCAGTTCGCTCGCACTTTGTATGATAAGAAAAAATATATAATACATTATGAAACACTAAAATTATATATTAATTTAGATTTTTTATTTTTTTTCCCGGTTAGATCGAGGACCGGAGTAGGAACCGCTTTAGCATTACTTCTCCTCCGATTTAGGTTTAAAGATAGAGAAAATTAATAGTGTTAGAATTTAGTCAATCTCCTTGGTTAAAAGTGTATATTGATTTTAATACTAATCTTAGATCAGAAGCTAAGAATTATTTTGAAAAAGAATATTTCAAATTAATGAATAATAGTGTTTATGGACGTACTATGATGAATGTTCGAAATCATGTTGATATAAAATTATGTTCCAACCCATCAAAAGTAGAGAAATTAATTGCAAAACCAAATTTTGATCGAAGGACAATTTTTACAGACAATTTAGTTGCAGTACATATGAAAAGAACACAAATATCTTTCAAACAACCAATATATATAGGAATGTGTGTTTTAGATTTATCTAAAATGTTAATTATGAAATAAATGTATGATTTTTATTATAATATTATAAAGAAAAAATATGGAAATAGAGTTAGATTGTTATATACATATACAGATTCACTAATATTAGAAATAAAAACTAATGATTTTTATCAAGATATGAAAATTATGTTAGATCATTTTGACACTTCAGATTATCCAAAAGATAATATTTATGGTTTACCTTTAGTTAACGAAAAAGTTTTAGGCAAGTTTAAAAATGAGTTAAATGGAAAAACTATGACAGAATTTATAGGTTTAAGATCCAAATTATATTCACACCGTCTTAGATACTGAAAAAGAAATTAAAAAAGCTAAATGTGTTAAAAAAAATGTTGTAGAAAATAAAATATGTTTTAATGATTTTGAAAATTGTTTACTAACAAAAAAATCAAAATATGTTAAACAAAATTTATTTAGAACTAAGAAACATGATATTTTTACTGTAGAACAAAACCAATAAGCTTTAAGTGTATGATAAAGATTTATTTTGGAAAATGGTATTGATACATTAGCTTGGGATCATTATAAAATAAATATAGATAGAAATGATTTTGTAAACCATTTCTATACACTAATAAGAAATCAAAATCAAAAAGATTAGAAAAAAATTTTAATTATTATTGCATTTCGATTTTTATTTTTAATAGAACAATTCTATAAAAAAATATTTTGATTATTATTGCATTTCAATTTTCTGATCTTTTTGCACACTGTTTTCTTTGTGATCTTTTATTGATATAAAATGAGTTGCGCTATTAGTGGTACAGGTATACTACTCGCGTTACCTATGGTCTCATGCCTCGCGACCATGTAGTTCTGGTGTCTGCCTACTTAGAATACAACATCCCGACCATGTTACATGTAAAACGTCTAAATCATATCCTGGTTAAGGAAAAGAGGACTCTGATCGGGGCTGACACCAACGGCCATTCAAAGCTTTGGCACTCGCTCTCCCGAAACCGCCGGTGCAGAATCACTGAGGAACTCATTGACAGACATGGTCTCCAAGTACACAACCTTCCTGGTCAAATGAACACCTTCTGCCGCAGCGACGGCAGAACATCTAACATTGATGCCACTCTGTCCACAGCTGACATTGAACCCTTAGTCAGGGGCTGGCAGGTAAAGGACCTTACGGACAGTGACCACAGGGTCATTACCTTGGCGATATTACTTGGCGATCACGAAGCCCCCCTAACGTTCAAACAACGACGAGGTATAATACCAAATCAGCTGATTAGGAGATGTTCTCCTCGGCGAGATCGGCAGCATCTCCGATAGAGACGTCGAAGAAATGGCTGTAAGCTTAAACATAGTACTTAAAATGGCAGCCGACCGCTCCATTCCCATAAAAAGAACAGCTAATGCGTCGGGGAAAAGCCCCTGGTGGTCTCCTTTCCTCATGACGTTACGTCGGAACTTAGCCCGAGCCAGACGACAGGGAATGAGTACAAACAACTGTTTTATTTAGTTTGCTAAAAAACTATTTGTCCGCAAAAAATTGCAAATTAGTCCGCAAAATTGCGCGATTTATCCGCAAAATGAGGTCATAATAAAAATTAGAGAAAGTTCATTTTTTAATTTTTAGAACCATTTCACCAGCATGTCAACAGTTTTTTTTAAATTTACTAAAAAAACTATTTTTCAGCAAAAATTGAAAATTATTCCGCAATATTGCGCGATTTATCCGCAAAATGTTGATCTACTAAAAAGTGGAGTAAGTGTTTTTTTTAATTTTTGCAATGTTTTTTTTAGTTTGCTAAAAAAATATTTGTCCGCAAAAAATGAAAATTAGTCCGCAAAATTACTCAAATTATCAGCAAAATAACGTATGTATCAAAATTGGAAAAATCGAAAATGTACATGCTGTCGAAATGGAGCTCTTTTCCTGGGCCAAGTGCGGCAGCAAGAAAAAGTCTATCTCCAGTACAATAACTAGGGAGCTCTTCCTGGATAAATTTGTTCTCCCTGACCCAGCACAAGGAAATTGGTGCTATGAAGGCCTTTTGTAAAACAAAGACAAGCCTGATTCGGCTTCGATCAAAGGCGCCATCTGGAGGATTAAGCCCACCAGCGCTCCCGGTGCAGACGGCATCACAGCGGGTATACTGAGAAAAGCCTAGCCAGCTCTCCAAGTCTACATCACTCAACTCTTTGGCATGTGCGTATCAAATGGCATCTTCCCAGAGTGTTGGAAAACCGCAACATTGGTTCTCATCCTGAAACCTGGGAAACTTGACGCCAGTATGACTAGGTCATACTATCAGATTAGTTGAGGAAATGATCAATGATTTACTACTCAAAGTGCATAATCAACCTAACAAACCTAACACTTACAGCAGGACAGACATTTGATCGTCAAACATAGACATAACACTATCCACGAAGAATCTTGAGTATAACGTCAGAAATTGGAGAGTTAACACTCGAGTCACTGATAGCGACCACAGGTTGATATCATTTACTGTACTCTCCGATCATGACGCTACCGCAAATCAATCGAGAGAAAGGATGCGTTATAAAGTGGAAAAAGCAGACTGGGATAGGCTTTAAAGAACAGCTAAGCATTGACATTCAATGCTACAAACCCAATGATACAATAGATCAAGGTGCCGAGTCTATCGTGGAAGCTATTTCTTATGCTGCTAAATCTTCTATTCCAATCAAGGGGACACTCAGGGGTAGAAAACTGCCCCCTTGGAGGACCCCGGAACTGACTATTTCAGGCAGAGAAGTAAATAACTATAGGAAACACATGAACTACAAGACGATAGACAGGGCAGGCTACAAGATAGTCAGAAATAACCACCTAAGTCTTATAAGATTAACAAGGTTCAGCCAATGGAAGGAATTTGCAGAAAGCGCAAATTCCAACCCCTGGGGACTATTGTACAAGTGGCTAAAGAAAGGTTCCAGTAACAATAACATCCAAACATCTTTGAAAACACCGGATGGTAATGTACCAAGAACGACAGAGGGAACTGCGTGCCTGCTGTTAAAAACCCTCATTCCCCACGATGGGAGTGAGATTACTTTAACGGACCAACAAGTTGGACCACGGGTCACAGTGAACCTCAACGCTGACGAAATAAAAGACGCAATATGGAGAATAGGACCAAAGAAAGCTCCTGGCAAAGACGGCCTAACAGCAGCAATTATAAGAAAGGCATATCCAATAGTTAAAGACCAACTAACTCACCTTTACAGAAGATACCTGATGAACTCGACTTCCCCCAGGTGCTGGAAAGATGCTAAAGTGGTGGTTTTGTTAAAAGGAAAGGACAAGGATCCCACGGAACCGAAATCTTACAGACCAGTGAGCTTCTCACCAACATTAGGCAACGTACTGGAGACATTGATAATGAAAAGACTCGGACAGGAGATAAAAAAATGAAGTCATTACATCAACGAGCCCGGTGAAGTATCTTGGTGTCTCAATAATCTACAAGAGAAATTACTGGAGCCATATAGAGGAAATAGCCGGAAAATCAGAAGATATATATAGTAGAATGTGCGCAGCAACTACATGCAATTGGGGGATAAAACAGTCAACATCCAAAGTGATCTATAAAGCTGTGTTCATACGACGACTGGGATACGCAGGCCAGGAGAGAAGCCTGGCGGAGGTTCGTTACCAAAAGGGAACGCTAAACCCTGGAGACCAGTCTTTAAGTGGCTCAAAGTTGGTGGTATACGTCCCTCGGAGAGCCTAACGGCAGAAATCCGGAAAGCGGATGGAGAGACAGCGGAGAGACTGATGGAAACCCTCATCCCCGACGATAGCTATGAAAATGAGAGTCAAGAACAGACGTCGACCAGGACAGAGACGGGATTAGAGATCGGCTCCTTCAGACAGACAACGGACGAAATCGGGGAAATACAGCGATGCGAAATCGTTGAAGTGAAGGGGGCCATCTGGCGAATGGCACCGAACAAGTCTCCGGGCTTGGACGGAATTACAGCTAAAATCCTCAGACAGTCCTGGCCAGTACTCGCGAACTACATTACGCATACGTATATTTAACAGCTGCCTTCGGGCAAGAACATTTCCGAGTACCTGGAAGGAGGTCAGGCTAGTCGTGATAAAAAAGTTGCCGGAAAAAGACCCATCCGAAGAAAAGTGGTACCGTAAAATAAGCCTTCTACCCGTTTTATAAAAGCCCTGAAAACGTAGGGGAGCGTCTGGTTGTGCCTTCCTTGCCACGTTTTTATCCCTTACCCGTCTTCGGGCTTCAACACAGCCGGTCATTACCTTACGAAAATCGTCTGAAAACTATGCAATAAATTTCAAAAATCTGTTGTCGGGGAGATGGGTCGGACGTTGGGTAGTATTTTTTTTATTATTTTTATAAAGAAAAACAGTTCTTTCGTTAAATACAATTTTATTTAACGACAATAAAATTGAATTCAAAACAATCATTATTTTTTACAACCAACATTTTTCAATAAATCGTTATAAATTTTAATAATATTATAATAAAATCAAATATATGTATTATGTATAGTATAATTGTGCATACACAAAATGGTAATACACCCAGGTAGCAAAAATGTAATGATAATAATACTAAAATATTATTAATTCATTACATCTAAAATAATATAATTAAAATAATATACTATTGTTTTATTTACGTTACAAGTTTTATATTATTATAGTAGTAACAAAAAAATATTATTATATTATTATTATGAAATTATGAAATTAATATTATTAATAAAACAATATAGTACGGTTTTATTTTCAACAAACATATAATATCATTTTTAAAGTAACAACAAAATCATCCTATATTATTATTAATTCATTACTAACTTATTATTATTTTTAGAACTATATGGTATCGTTTTATTTTCAATAAATTTATAATATTATATTGTCATAAAGCCAAATCATACTATATTATTATTAATTCATTAATTCTATAACATATATTATTATTATTCCTATTCTTTATTATTCTGAGTGAGGATGGGGTTTAAACTCAGCCCCACTCTGCCTTTCCTCATAAGTGTGCCACGACGCATTCAGCATATTGTGACGCACGTATTGAGTACATTTTAGAACATATTTTTGTAATTTTTAAATCTATAGTGGTGGTTACGTACGTTTTCTCCTTAAATTATTTACATGACATATATACCAGATAGGTACCTATTATAGGTATACTATAGTTTTGCCATATTTTCTTGAACAGGAGATAAATACAAATAAATGTATATACATTACTACATTAGGATTTATAGAATTATTATTCGACTAGCTGTAGGTACGCGTGTTTGGTGATAATCGTATGCCACGTATCAAGCACGTAAAAAAAAATTCTGGGAGGGGGGGGGTTCATATAGACATATATATAGTAGTTTTTGGGGGGATTAATAATAATAATAAAAATATACATATATATAAATATATTACACAACTTTTAAGTTTCGGGGGGGTGGGGGGGTTGAACCCAAAAAATCCCCCTTTGTATACGTGCCTGCCACTTATAAATCATACTAAGGTGTATTGTACAAAATATATTATAAGATGTACAATATTAATTACAGTTTAAGTATGCGCCCTTGTCTGTGCGTGAGTGGTGTACCTATGAATTTATTTAAAAATTGTATTAATCAAGTATAATATAGTATGTATACAGCTATAGCCTATAATATACTATATATACATAATATACCTACGTGGCTACGTATATTGTGTAATGGGTATATTTCTACTTTACCGGACACCCTTTTTTTTGCAATTTTTTTTTTTGAAATTAATGTAGTTAAGCACGCTGAAAACGATGGTGAAGTCCAAATTTGGCGCACGGACTTAGTTTTGAAGTTATGGCCTAATGAAGTTCGCTATTTTGCGATTTTCACGCATTCGCGCAACACTAGTTTACCGCGCGCCTACTACGAATATTGATATTTATATATTATAATTGAAGGGGTGAAAGTTTTAAGGTATTTTACACATTATACCAAAATATTAAATTGGCCCACTTGGGGAGGTGTTGCACAGCAAATCGGGGGATATTTTCGTTTTAATTGTCCGAGTGAGCGCAGCGAGCGAGTGACCCCGCTCGGTGAATCGGTGCAACAAAAATGCATTTTTTTTAAACCTGTGGCCCACTTGGGGAGGTGTTGCACAGCAAATCGGGGGATATTTTCGTTTTAATTGTCCGAGGGAGCGCAGCGAGCGAGTGACCCCGCTCGGTGAATCGGTGCAACAAAAATGCATTTTTTTTAAACCTGTGGCCCACTTGGGGAGGTGTTGCACAGCAAATCGGGGGATATTTTCGTTTTAATTGTCCGAGCGAGCGCAGCGAGCGAGTGACCCCGCTCGGTGAATCGGTGCAACAAAAATGCATTTTTTTTAAACCTGTGGCCCACTTGGGGAGGTGTTGCACAGCAAATCGGGGGATATTTTCGTTTTAATTGTCCGAGGGAGCGCAGCGAGCGAGTGACCCCGCTCGGTGAATCGGTGCAACAAAAATGCATTTTTTTTAAACCTGTGGCCCACTTGGGAGGTGTTGCACAGCAAATCGGGGGATATTTTCGTTTTAATTGTCCGAGCGAGCGCAGCGATCGAGTGACCCCGCTCGGTGAATCGGTGCAACAAAAATGCATTTTTTTAAACCTGTGGCCTACTTCGGAAGGCGTTGCATACCAAATCGAGGTTAAGTAGAAAAGTTCCCATATTAGTAATAATATACAATTTAGTAATAATGAGACAGTCGTAAAATAGCCATAATAATATAAAAAAAAGAAATCGGTAAAACAAAAATACCACCCCGCGCGGGAGTACTGTGGCGCGGGTATATACGTAAATTTTAACTCGTTGAAATACATAGATTTCCGAACAATTTGCGAGGCTGCGAAATTAGATTTGTTCCAGTAGTTTTAGTAATTTTCTATTTAGGTACCTATAATTGCATGATTTTTTTCCTTTTTTGTTAATTTTTGCACTACAAATCCATTTGTATTTATCGATTGACGATTGATCTTTAACCAATCTCATCGGATGTCCTCGTATACAATTTTGTTCATTTGGCAATATACCAAATGACTGTAATTTGACAATCAAACCTAAGCCATCGTTCAGGCTTGACCATTCCATTAAATCAAACAAATTTATATGTTTCTCCATAGTATAGAATATTTAAAATGAAATTTTACGTTTTCGCGCCAGTAATGAATAGGCGTGTAACCGGCGCTAACCGCAAGTAAACTGTTTAAGGTGCCTTTACACTGTATCGTGTCGTCCATAATTTAGGACGTCGTCCTAAAATTACAGTGTTTTGATTGGCTGAATATTGTGGTTACCTAATTAATATACCATGTTACCAGGCGTTACCAGAAAGTTGAAAAAAATTCAACTTGTCGTCGTGCGGTAACAGTCGTGGTTCAATCCTCCTGATAATAAATAATTTTGCCCTAGATTTCCTACTTATAAGCAGTGATTACAAGTTTTACGGCACTTATCGAAAAAAAAAAATATTAATATTCGTAATAGGCGCGGTAAAGTATAGTGTTGCGCAAATGCATGGAAATCGCAAAATAGCGAACTTCAAAAGGCTATAACTTCAAAACTAAGTCCGTGCGCCAAATTTGGACTTCACCATCGTTTTCAGCGTGCTTAACTACATAAGTTTAAAAAAAAAAAATTGCAAAAAAAAGGGTGTCCGGTAAAGTAGAAAAGTTCCGTGTAATGTATAATAAATATAAATAGGTATATAATATATACCTACTATATAGGTATAGGTATATTGGTACACGTACACAATTATTTTCAATTTATATATTATTCAAATTATTATCACTTATCAGCATTAATGAGATACCGCGATGTATTTACTATTATTATTTAGTAGGTATTTACTATTTACCGATTTGGTATTTGGACGTCCCCTCTCTCCCCCCACCCCCGCGGATTCTAGCTAGCGGTTCTGGTCGTTTCCCCTCTGGACTGAGACATTTCCCTCTGAATCAATATATATATATTTTACACCTAATAATAGGTTGGAAAATAGGTTCTTTTGTTTTACCCGAAATATACTATTATCATATTGGCATATTATATCGACTACCATCATTCATGTTATGGATTTACCATAGTTATTACTAATAATTACACCCAATTAATTGGGTACCTAATGATTAATAAACCATAATAAAGTTATGTGAAAGTATTATTGAATTACCTATATTAATGTATTAATTTAACAATTATTTAATAAAAAAATCTCGTAACAGTATACATATTTTATTTATTTGTATTTGTAATTTGTATACCTATTATTGTTTCATATTGTTTTAGTATATTTATATTAGTGAATTTTGTATTTGCAATGGTGTTACTATGGCGTATTATTTAATTATATTTAATCATTAGTGCCATTTCGGTGGATTGCCTACTACTCCTGTATCATCGGCAATAACCAAAGGTACTCAGTTGGGCACTTGTGCGCATGTGAACTGGTTTACTATAATAGTGTGTACTTAAAATTATAAGTATATAATATAGCATTCCGGCATTCGTATACGGTAGACCGTAGTCCGTACTCAGTTTTATAAATAACTGTGTGTTTATTGTTATTATTGTTATCAGCATAATATTTATAACATCGCCCGCTTGCTATAACGTATTTCCCCGGGTATTACCCATATCCTGCCGACCCACGACGCTCCAGTGGCCAGTGCACGATTCGTACAACTCTATGACCATTGTACATTTCACTCAGTGCGCATCGTGATCGTACATATTGGTTATTATTGATTGTTATTAGGACATTAGGTACTCGTACTTTTAAACTTGTGTAGTTGACAGTGGTGTGTGTACCTACTGTGCAGTGTTCCCGGTGTGTCACTTTATCTCAAGTACTCAAGTGTGATATTTTCGGCAACAACAGGTAAGTAAATCCAAGGGCGCACCCAAGGGGGTGGCTAACGGGCTTTAGCCCCCCCCAAATGGCTAGCCCCAAACATTTTGATAATTTTATTAGGTTTATTGACATATTGACATTTTACTTTAAATTGTTGTAAAAAAAAAAATTGCTAATGAAACGAAATTGCTAATGCTTTAGAACTAACAATTACTATGCCCAGATTAACAAAAAATCAAACCAAACGATGCAATGTACCAGCAGAAAATGAAGAAGAATATTATAGACGTGCCATTTTTATTCCATGGCTAGATTCTTTTATAAATAATATATCCGACCGATTTTTAAAGCATAAATGTATTATTAAAAGTTTTAAGTGTCTTTTACCAACTGGAAATTCTCCTAATCAAACAGAAAAATCACAGTATTTAAAACTTTTAGAATTTTATAAAAATGATAATTATTATACCAGAAAATGGTGTTAACGCTGCAGTAGCCGAATTTGATTTATGGTATCAAAAATTCCAATGCCCAAATCATTCATTACCACATAATGCAATCGATGCATTAAATTTGTGTAATGATACTCTATTTGAAACTATATTTATACTTTTAAAAATATTCTCAACATTGCCTGTTTCGACCAGTACAACAGAAAGATCATTTTCCATTTTGAGAAGAATAAAAACATACTTGAGAAATACAATGAGTCAGAATCGACTGAATGGTTTAGCTATGCTTCATATTCACAGAGAAATAGATGTTCAAACTTCAGAAGTACTCTCAGTATTGGGGAAAAAAGGACCAAGGAGTCTCAACTTTATAATTTAAAAGGTTAGACTTATAAAAAATAATCATTATATTATTCATAATTAAATAAATAATATTTATGTTTTACAGGTATAACATCAAGGCTACGGCGACACTTAAAACCGGGACAAAAATAAAAAAAATTTGTTAGTAAAAGATTGTAAAAAAGCTTAAAGATTTCTGTACATATTTCAAAATAAATACTACCTAATAATATTAAAATTATGTGAATTTAGCCCTCCCCAAAAAAAAATCCTGGGTGCGCCCCTGAGTAAATCTACATATTAGTATAATGTAAATTAAGTATAATACGAGTCACGAGATACCTAATATTTATCAGATTCCACGTGGCATACTGACAGCTACCTACCTATAAAATCTTACTTAATTTTGATAATAATATGCTGCGTTGTCGCGTCGATGTGCACTCAACATTTAAACTACACTGATCGCTATTCACAATCGTAGAAAATCACGAATGTAAATTGTAAAAACCCTTGAGGTTTTGACAATTAAGCATCATAAAATGTAGATTTCCAATATGTTAGGTATGTAGGTACATCGAACAAAATGTTTAAAATAGATAGGTAATTATGCGTTATTCTAAACGACCTAGCTATATTATACAGCATAATTTCGATTAGTTTCTACCTAACCTAGGTATTGCCTTCAGAAACTAGATAATATATGTAGGTATTTAATGATTAATAAATAAATTACAGATACCTACCTACCTAACCTCTATACATTTCTTTGTTTATACCTAGTTCAAGTATGAAAAAAACATTTCCATTAAGTTATCGAACAAAAAAGAGGAGAATTAATGAAGAGTTAGAAGCGCATTATAATTCTGTACAAGATAATTCTTTTATTATTGATAACTCTCCTAGTAATTTATCACAAATTACAGAAAATAATATAGTTGAAACGAATAATAGCCCAAACAATAATAATTTTGTATCAGATGATAGCTTAACGGATAATATCAATAAGACTCAAAATTATAATTTAAATACTGAACATTTTAATGATCTGTTAAACTTAAATACTTCAACTGATGGTGATTTTATATATTTTGATACAGACAAATCTTTTTGTTTTGAGTTAGCTGATTGGTCAATACAAAACAAAATTGCACATACTGCTTTAAATAGTCTCCTATTAATTTTAAGAAAACATAAATGTTTTTCTACTTTGCCCAAAGATGCTAGAACTATTTTACACACAAAACCAGTAGAGTTATGTAAAATGCGAATTGTTGATCCTGGTAAATATTACCATTTTGGAATCGAAAATGGAATTAATAGATACTTTTCTACTTTTAATAAAACTGATCAATCTTCAAAAGAAATAAATCTTGTTATTGGCATCGATGGATTGCCTATTTCTAAAAGCAATTCCAATCAATTTTGGCCCATTTTAGCTTATGTGAGGTCAAAATGTAATGTTGTTTTTCCAGTTGGACTATATTTTGGTACTGAAAAGCCAAATGATAGCAATGAATTTTTAAAAGATTTTGTAGACGAAGCAAAACATTTAGTTGAAAATGGTCTAGTGATTAATAATAGTATTTATAAGATATTATTAGATGTTTTTTGTTGCGACACTCCCGCAAAGGCATTCATTTTGAAAATAAAAGGTCATAATGGTTTTTCTTCTTGCGCAAGATGTGAAATTGAAGGAGAGTATAAAGAGAATCGGCTATGTTTTCCTTATTGTGATATTTCTAAGCGAGAAGCCAAACGAACGCATAATAATTATGTTCATCAAACTGATATAAATCACCATTTACCATATACTACTATTTCAAGGATTGTAGAAATATCTGGTGTGGATGTTGTATCATCTTTCTCCCTTGATTACATGCATCTAGTAACTCTTGGTGTAATGAAAAAACTTTTACTATTGTGGATCAAAGGACCATTAAGTGTTCGTTTACCATCTTCAAAAATAAAACATTTAACCAAATTATCTTTAAGTTTCAAATCTGAATTTCCATGTGAATTTTCTCGGAAACCTAGATCTCTAGATGAAGTGGCACGCTGGAAAGCTACTGAATTCCGTTCATTTTTGTTGTATGTTGGTCCTGTTATATTGAAAAACATTGTATCATTTATACAATATGCTGATGATTTGTTAAATTACTTTGTTGAAACATTTGAACAAATCTATGGACAGTATCTTGTATCTTCCAACATTCATGGATTAATTCATTTAGCAGATGATTTTAAACAGTATGGGCCTCTTGATAATTGCAGTGCGTTCCCATTTGAAAACTATATGAAAGTTCTAAAGAGTATGCTAAGGCAGCCTAATAAGCCTTTAGAACAAGTAGTAATAAGATATAATGAAAATGGAAACTTTAGTCTGAATAAAAATGAAACCGTCCAAATTGATGAAAATGGCTTATTATCAGGACCACATAATGATGGACCTTTATTAAGTGGCAGCGTTAATCCACAATTCAGTTCTTTAATTCTGAGTAGTTTTAAAATTAAATGTAAAATAGATGCTGATTCTTATTTTGTTTCTAAAACTAATGAAGTTATAAAATTAATTAATATTGCTCACTCACATAACACTGGTGAAGTGGTTTTGATTGGCAGAAAATTTGAAATTAAGGAATTGTTTTATGATAAACCTATAAGATCATCTTGCTTTGGAATATATATCGTAAAACAATTATCAACTAATTTATATATGTGGAATATAAATGACATTCAAAATAAAGTTATGATATTATCATGCAATAAAGATTGCATTGCTATCCCTTTATTACATTCATCATAGTTGAAAAATTTAAGTTTGTATAAAAAAAAAATATTCAAAATGTAGATTGTTAATTTTTTTGTAAATATTTGTTTTATTTGTATCAACTATAATAATATATATATCAATTAAGAATAATTGTATCAAGGTTGTATCTATGTATCCGGTAGGAACCTATACATTTTAAATATTATGCAGATGGTTTTTCATTAAATTATGCTAAAATTATAAAACGCTTCTCTTTGAAAACTTCTACCGATGTGAATTTTTTGGTCAATGTATGACAAATACAAATTAATTAAAAAAGTAATTATAGTACCTATTTTATTACAAATAAAAATTATTTAAATATCCCCTAATATATCTAGTTAATTATGTGAATTGTGTGAATGATTAAATTATCCTTAAATTTATTTAAAAATTTTTAAGTTATTTTTTCAAGTTACTGGAAAAATACAGTTACCTATTTTGTATTTTGTTGTATTAATTGAGCATGTTAGCACACAATTTGTTTTCTCTCTGACCAATAAGGAACATTAAAACGTTTAATATATTTTTAGCTTTAATATTATAGTGAATTGATATATTATTATCAAACTTAATAAGGTAAGAATATTATCTAGCATACATCACATGTTTTAATTGATACATATTTTATTTTTAATGCAAGTTATGGGCATTTAACATATTATAATATTTTACATAGTTATATGTTAATAACAAACTTTTAAATAAAAATATCAATAATAGCCTATGATGTGCCATAGATAATATCCTTATATACCTTTAAGTTTCATGATAATAATAATAATTTATTCTAATATCAAAGCCAAGGCCAACAACAGACAAAACTGAATTTGCTGAACACAATATTGGCATATTGCATATATGGATCAGAGAGAGAAAACAAATAGTGAGAGAATATATAATTATGTTACTTATTAAGCTTACAACAACATTGTAATATTCAAATCTATTTTAATTTTCTTTCACGGATTTTGTGACAATTTTCAGATTTTAAAATATTTTATTTTAACATTCTTAATTCTTAATAGTATATTAAATTATATAGGTATTAAAATATCTTAAATTTTTTTATATACCTATATAATATAATTATAAAAGAAAAATAATTAAGAGCATTATCATTATGAAAAAAATTATAAAAGAAAAATAATCAAACTTTCTATTTTTCAGTAGATCAAAATGTGAACTGTGGTGCATTTTATTAATGAAAATGCAGTTGAAGCTGTTCCTAGCCATTGGGTAAAAAAAGATGTTTGTGATTGGCCAAAAAACAATATAAAAAAACATATACAATCTAGAACAATACTAAATAAGCATGGTTTTGATTATTTTCCTTCGAGAACGTTAAAAAAAGGCATTGGTAATTTCAAGTTATTTACCTATTTAATGGATAAAATATTTTTTGAGGGTGGTTATCAATTGATTTTTGTATTTTACTATAGCCAGTTATTTTGAAGCTAAATTAAAAGTTAAAAAAGCTGAGGTAACAGATGATCTTTCAACTAGTGATGAAATTCAGACCAAGATTAGAAGAAAAAAAGTATTGGTTCAAGATCCACCTATTTTTAATGAATTGTTAAACGAAGGTATACATTTTAAAATTATAACATTTTAGGGTTACTAAATTAACTATTAATAATAAACTTTTATCCATAGGTAATTTATCAAAATCTGCTAATGATTATGAATCATTACACAATTGTCAAATTATGAGTTCTCAAATTCCAGTTAAAAAAAGATTATTGGCTGCAACTTCTTCCAGTCAGGGTATTGTTCTAAAAAAAATATGACTGTATTTTAATAAAAACTTATTATAATTATGCCAATAGAATTAAGATAGTATGAATACTAATTAAATTTAGCTTTAAATTATAAACATTTTTCCATAGGTAATCTATCAAAATCTGCTAATGACAATGAATCATTACACAATTGTCAAATTATGAGTTCAAAAATTCCAGTTAAAAGAAGATTATTTGATACAACTTCTTCTAGTCAGGGTATTGTTCTAAAAATAATAATGATTATATTTTAATAAAAACTCAAATATAATTTTGACATGAGAATTAGGATAGTGTAAATACTAATTATGTTATATAATAATACTATATATTAATAATAATAATAATAGTTAATACTATGTATTAATAATAATAATAACAATAATAATAGGTAATACTATATGTTAATAATAATAATAAATTATTACTAATTATTATTATTATTATAGTTAATACTGTATATACCGATATGCCATAGTATAAAATAATATCTTTTATTTCTTTTTTTCAGATTTTTCAGATGATTTTTGTGGTTTAAGAAATAATAGCCAGAATGATATTCCTGATTCACCAGATATTTTTAACTCTTCAACTAGTTTAAAAGATTTTTCTAATACTAATGGTAATAAACTATACTAGATTATTTGCCTAATATATACTCTATAGTCTATACATTATATTATATTTATATTTTTTATTAGGAACAAAGCAAAAGTCAACTGTTCTACATACAAGTGCATCGCCATTTAAAGTCACTCCGATAGATTCTAACCAATTTGAAATCATTGAAGTAAATCAACCTATTAGTAAAAGTTCCAGGATACTTGATTCAGGTAAAAAAAACACAAAATGTACTTACATTCCAAACAAAGTTTCAAAATTAATTAGTTTCTAAAATGTTTTTAAAACTTATTCAAATTAATTAAAATGATAATTTTAAAAGTGATATATTATAGTCATATAATATTACCATTTCATGGTATAATAAATAAAAACAAACCAACTTTTAATGCTACTCAACGTGAATCAATTTCTGATGGTAATTATTATATTAATCTCTTTTATTCTTATACATTTCTTGAAAAACCATTTCATTGTTTATCTTTGTTGACATAGAAACATTGAAAAAAATATTAAGCGTAGTTATGAAAATTAAATATGATGTTGAGAACATTGGACATAATCAAACACGAATAGACAATATTTTAACTGAAACTATTATAAATATGGGTAGCATTTCTAGTAATAGTCATGAAAATTCAAACATTAATGATGATAATGATTATTGTTTGTTACTACCACTACATAACGAAGAGGAACTAAATAATTTTGAAGAAAAATTATTAAACAAGTCTTTCAGATTAAATGTTGTAAGTACTATTTAAAAATAGTTTTTGAAAGAATAAGTTTGATCATAACACTTTAAATATTTCTTATTTAAAATTTTGTATGATTTCCCTATAATTTGTTTTCAAATAAAAAAATTATAATAATAAATCAGCTATATTAATTTTATTCTTCCAGGTTCATGGTCTCAAACGATTGGCAAAAAAATCATTAACATCAACAATAAGACAAATGTTAAGAACAGTTTTCGACGATGAACTTTTGCAAATATTTAGTTATGTTGGTCAGAAGAAAAAAAGGATATTTTCTTCATTAGCTTCATGTGCTATTATATTTGGTAATAAAAAAAATAAGAAATTACTATGTGAGGTTATTTATTATATATTTCCAAAGGCGGACAAGCATAATAAAAATAATTAATAAGAGAAAACAAGATGAATGAGATAGAAGTTAACAGTTAATAAATCTTAAATTTAACTCGTTAAGTTAGATAGAAAACAAATTAAATCAAATAGGTATATATTAGGTGGACGGTTGTTATTCCCGTTGCTCGCGTAGTTAGGTCTCGAATTATTTCTACAATGTGATGCAAAATGATTTCCATTTCAGTTATAACATTTTATTGGTTTTCTATTAATCGGTTGAGAGAAGTTGTTTGCTCGCGGATAATTATTTCGTGCAAAATTATTTGGCCTTACAAAGTTATTTGGTCTAACGTTCCTGTTGTGCCTATTTTCATAATTTGATCTACGTTGATTATTGTTTTGTGAATAACTACTCGAATAATGGTTCCTATTTTCCTGTTCTAATCTTAGTTCTACCTGTTCTGACATAGTGATTTGTTTCGCGATCTCCAGAGTTTTAGCATTGCGAGATTTTACTATCGTTCTAATCGGTTCTATTAATCCTTTAATAAATACTGCTAGAGTTTGGTCCCTTAATGTTTCATGTATAATTTTTGCTTCTGCAGACTCTTTGTTTAATGTGCTTACGGTACACAACTGATAATATAGTTTCTCTACTCTATGGCAATAATCGTTTACATCCTCATTGTGATTCATTCTAATCGAATTTAATTGAAGTTGTAACGACGATGCATTGGTTGTCACTTCGAATGCATCTGTTAAAAATGCTTTTATAAATTGCCATTTTGTTACGTTTTTATATTTAATCATTTCTAATGCTCTACCCGTTAATCGTGTAGTAATATATTTTACTAATATTGGTGCACTGTTTGTGTCGACTAAACCTACTGCCATATCACATGCATTTATGAATTGGTAGTTATCGTCTATCCCTGTGCATATTGGAATTAATTTGAAAGCGTCTTCTAACTTTATGGTTACTGCCATTTTTTTAATGCGTGGTTTAGATATAGAATCTAACGACTGATGTTCAAAACTATCTGTAACTTTGCTACGTGTGACTACTCCTAATTGTGGACTTGGGGTTTTACTTGTGCTACCTACTAACTGGGTATCTACTATAGTATTTAACTGGGCTTTCTGTTGGGCTTCAAACTTTGCTTGGGCTTCTAACTGGGCTTCTTCTACTACACTAGTGTCATACAATGAATTAGCTACGTTCAAGGGAGATGTATCTTCGCTGTCCATAAATTAACTTAGCTGCCTATTTAATACGTTAATAATCATAATAATACTCAATAAAATTCAATAATGCCCTATAAATACAATAATAACTTCAATAATATGCCCTCTAATAAATTCAATAAACTTCAATAATACTTCAATAATAAAAATTCCCTCAATAAATAATAATCAATAATAACTTCAATAAAAACATGCCCTCAATAATAAAACTTCAAATAATCAATATGCCCTGAATAAATTCAATAAAACTTCAATA